GCTTTATTAAATGCAATCAAAACTAACATTAAAACATATAGAAGGCTACTAAAATTTTCCTTTCACAATACCAATAACAATCCATTGATATATTAAGATGTAATGCTCTCAAATTTGTTATGCTATGTATCTCATCAACTGAAAGCAACTGATTCAGCTCACCTGAGTACAATTGCTCTCTGATAGGAGGGAGTTTAGCAAATGAACTTTACAACCAATGGCTAAGGATACCTGCTTTTTCTGCTCTCAGTAATTACCAGCTGCACTATAAGCCATCTTGCATACCTCTAGTTCCAGCAATATGGTAAGCCAAACATGATCATCAGAAGCACAATGTTGCATGATAACATGGCACCATTTACTTATTAATATACAAACCACTTTTTTATTCACATTTCAGGGTAGGTGTAGGTAGACCTTTGAAATCAGTGAAGTTCTAAAACAATAAAAATACAATAGCCATCACAATGATAGGAACAGAAAAGGAATAATTAAGCTAAAATGTCAAAGAGGTTTTAGCCTGGTGCAGAAAGGAATTCATTGTTGGTCTTTGTCTAAGAAGACATACCAAAGTTGAAGTGCAATTTCTACAGATGGAACATCCAGAACATCTTACTCAGACTATTTTAACAGTTAATACTGACTTCTTTGAAATGGAGGATGTGCTGTTTTAGATACTGGGGAGCCAATTAGAGTGGGAACGTAAGAGGTACATTGGTACTTTTGACTGAGCTTGGTAGCTGGGATTTAGGAGTCATTTTCAGAATTCAGACTTCTAAAACACATCTAAATGCTAGTTCTGACATTTGAAAGAAGTTTGAGAGCAGTTATGAAATCGTGGAAAGAGAGGCAATCAGAACAGAAATTTGGTGTGTTTAAGCAAATGTTGTACATGGAACACTTAATATCCTGAGAATTTATTGATCATTCAGCCCTCAAAGCTACTTCACAGTGCCCACCTTTCCTGTTTCATAAGCTTTGGTTTAAAAAGGGTGAAATGAGCACTGGAGCCTAGCATTGCTTCTCCCTTTCTGTTCTCTCTTTAGAACAGGAGCTGGCCTCAGCATTAAATTTCTGCCTTGTCTTAATCCAGAGTTCCTATTAACGAATTTTGTAGTAGTAAATTGCAGGTCTCTCAGAATACAAAAAAAGGGCAGCTCCTGTCAGCAAAAGGTTACCTGCCTCTGGTTTATATGTTGGACAGTGTAGGTTATTCCTATTGCATTAAAGGTTACCTATAACCTACATATAATTTTTGAAAGGCAACCTTCCACTCACCCCCCCCCCCCCAATTGCACTCCAAGGATCTAAATGGAGTCTCTGTCAGGTAATAATTTTAAAGATGTTTTGGAAAACTCGATGCAAAGCAACTGTTAAACTTATCAAGAGCTTCTGAACAGCTGATTACCTGCAACCATAGATCAAACTTCTACTTATTATTCAAAAATAAACAGAATATTTCACATATTTTTTATGAATGGGAACTTGGTGGGAATATTGCCCCCTTTCATCTCTTTAGTCCTAATGTTTCCTATAAGGACTAGCTTTATACACAAGCAATAATTATAAGGGAGCAATAATCTCCCTGTCATATTTTTAACAGAAGAGTCATGTATCTATCAGGATGATATACTGCCTCTAACAAACAGTACTACTTCAACTGCTCTTTCTGAGGTTTACTACAGCCCTCAAGGGGCACCACCACACTCCACCAGTAACTTACTGAATCAACACATCTTGTCCAGTAAATGCTCAATTAGCATGGCAAAATAGCATGTAGCAATTACATAGGAAAAGTACAATGGAGGAACAAAATTTAATTTCATTCCTACTTAACAGCATGAACAATTGACAGGCTATCGAACTAGTCAATTTTGCTACTTTGGAGATTAAACAAAGGTTAAATGCTTAAACACCACCTCAAATTCCTTGGAGGAAAGGCAGGCTTTAAACATAATAAATGAACTGTTAAGCAATCTCTAAAGCCAGGTTGCACAAGTGTCCATCCCAAGTATACATGTGGTCCCTGAGCTACACTAACACTTCTGCTCTTCCTCTGACTTAATAAAGCTAATGATACTATATTAAGCAATACATTCAGTTCTTCCTTAGGTCACTCAGTTCATTGACAAAAATTGATCAGTGGAACAGAAAGAAATTAAGATTTTAAAAATACTAATGTCTATCCAAGTTGAGAATTTGGAAGGCCTGACTTTTCAAAATCTGGGGCAGAAGCCTGTGCATTTAGCCATCTGTCTATAGCTAAATTTGGGTTGACATCTCTTTTTTTTCCTGACAGCTCCCCTTTCATAACAGCTATACAGCAAGAAGGTATAAGCTGTACTCAATGAACTGAGATCATCCAAGAAGTGAGAATTTCATTCAGTTGGGGAACTTATCAAAACTGAGACATTTCTTTATAAATAAGGAAGAAAGAAACTAAGGTTTTAAATAATGCAATAGAATATGTATGTGACCAATTCTTCCAATGATTTCAGATTCTTCCACCACTACATAATGTAAAGACAAAAGTCATTGGAGAAGACTGATACCTGGAAAAATTGAAGGAAATAAAAAAAGGCCAATGCTTGCTTGCTTGCTTGCTTGCTTGCTTGCTCGCTCATTCATTCATTCATTCATTCATTCATTCATTCATTCATTCATTCATTCAATGTATATGGCTGCCCATTTCATGTATGACTCTTGGGTGACTCACAATAATGAAAAATGAAAATAAACAACAAACTACTGTAATAAAAAAAGGAACAAACAATATGCAGCCAAGTAGTAACAGT